TATTTTGCCTGTATATGCACGATCCTGCCGATCCTCGCCGATCTTTACGAAGGAGAATCGGACTCGTTGACGAGGTAAACACAATTTTTGTCAGTAAAATAATACACTAGCGATAAGGATGACGATGATTTCGCGAGTGATTTTCCACGTTGACGGTCGCGGCGATCGGAAAACTCGACGGTCGCCGGTGCCGATTTATCGTTGATCCAAGTCGATAAAAATTAAGTACGTACCGATAATCAGATTTAACCGCGGCAGCCGCGTGCGTATATAACTTTGTGGCTTTGGATTAATTACGTTCCGCGGGCTGCATATTACAGTATATATCGTCATCGGGGGATATACGTGTACGTGACTTTCACATGCGAGGCATACACCATCGTGTCTCTTACTTTGTGCACTTACCTATGCGGCGAATGTGTACGCTCACCGCGCGCGTATGTGTGCACGTAAAAAAAAGAAAAAAAAAGGAACGACGACTTTAACGCGCCGCCGATATATAGAAGGAAAGAAAGCGGTTAAGTACGTCAAGGAACGAGGAAGGAAATCGAAATCTCGCTCGCTCGCTCGGATATATGCAGTTCACACGTGTGTCTGTCTGTATGTGTATATACATATAAATATATATAGATATATATATATAAAAGGTAGGGAAGGAGTGCATAGTGTGCAGCCAGAAGAAGGAGCCTAAGCTCGGGCGCGCGAGACGCAGCTCTCTTGTATTGCGCGATGCGACGTGTTGTGTGTATAACTTTCACTTCCTTTCCCCTTCAGTCGCATAGACTACTTTTCCTTTCAGACCCTTCTTCTTCTTCTGTGCTCTTCTGCCAAGTGTGTGTGTGTGTGTGCACATCTAAAACAGCGTGTCTGTGTGGACGAGACGTCGTCGTCCCGCGGGTTGTGCTGCACACACACACAAATATACGCGTGCATGTAAGTATGTATTGCTCCCCGAGCACAAGTAAAAATGTTGTGATATACACTGAGAAGGACGTGTTTGGGACTACAAAAATAGAACCTGTACTTGTAAATTAAATATCAAGTTGGTATGTGTGACTACAGATTTTTGTTGAGCCAGCAAAAATAAGAGTTAATAAAACCAGAATACCACGTTTATGTTGCTAATTCTAGCTTTACCGGCCAGACTAACGAAAAATCACTGCCAAGAAAGATGCTGAAGGCAGTGGGGGGTGTGGATTCGATGATACGGTCTACCGTGCTAGAAATGCTCGAAATTTTAACGCTGCCTTTTGGTCATATGAAATGTTTTTGTCATCTCTCAATTAAAATTATTCAAAACTATGCTTCAACTTATACGTATTTTTTATTTCGCTACTTTTAGATTTGCAGATCAAGGTACTCGCCATCTAGAGGTGGACTCTTAAAGTAATATTAGTGGAAACTGTTCCAAATTGTTCGAACTAATTTTATGGTACCTTTTCAGTTTATTTATTATGCGCTATATAATAATTACATAATTGTGGCAAAAAAATCTTCAAAAATAGGCCAGTCAATCGAATTTCAAAACATTTTAAATCGTTTGAACCATTAGGCCATTGCACGAGACGCGATTTTCTACCAATTTTAATTGCTGCTGCAGATGCATCGGTGGCGCTACACAGCATTGCCGTACCGATAACTATACGGTTTGCGGATTACTGCCGCAACCATTTGCGTCAAATAGACAAGTACATGCACTAGCACATGCATTATGGTTGATGTCCAACTTATTAGTGTTGATGGATTATCGTTAATTCTACCTAAAAAACTCAATTTCGCAAAGTGAAATAAGTACTTCAGCCACACCAAATATTAGTTTTGTTAAAAATAACGAAATCCTCTTCGTTGGTACATTATTCATGCATTTAGGAATTTTGAAAATAAGAAGTATTTTATTAAATGTTTAAATAACTTCAGACTGAAAGTGTGAGATCATTTGCAATACTGATTTATAATTTTTGATAGAAAAAAACATTATAATTCCGTTACCATAGTGAAAATTACCATTCGATATTGTAATTTTTCCGATATTTTCATTTCGAGGCGCCTTTACAATGCTACTTGTTAACTTCAATCGATTTTCCCATAGTTTTTATTTAAAAAAGAGCAGTTAGTTCAATTTGTGTTTAATTTGCATCCAAAAAATTGCGTTTCGTGGTCACGAACACGACGTGCACAACGACATTATTATCCTAGTTCCGATGTAGACACATAAAAACCATCGACGCTCGATTCGCTATCGCAGTTCTTTCTACCTAAATCAACGCATTCTTGAGGTGACGTTTTAATGTGATGGTTAAATAAACTTGCAGCAGTCGTGTCGAATTCCAGTATTGAGGAATTTGGCACAGAAACGCTAATTATAATAAACACGAATAAAAATATTCGATCGTTACCTGGAAAGTGTAGGTGTTTTTAGTATGATTTCATAAAAATACCCGAAAGAACAACATTTGTATCATGCCATAGCATTTATCGATGCATAGTTGGCTTGTAATGTAATAAGTAATTTTCCATATTTTTTGAGTCATAAAAAATATTGAATTTCAAAGATATACTGTGTATTGCTAGAAATCATGAATATTATTTTGAATTTATTTTATTTCAAATACTCATAAATAAATAAAAATTCAAATAAAATGTTATGCGAGCGAAATTATAAGTAATTTTTTGCCCCCAAGTCGAAAGGTACATTTTGTAGTCACTGGGAGTTAGAGAAAATTTTTTTATTTTTTTTGGTGATATTTATATAAACAGTTGATAAAAATTTTCATCAGTGACGTTTTCATAAAAACCACGTGCACTCCGACAAAGGATGACGAGTCGTAGCAAAAATATATACGGCAAAGCATAAGTCGCTTCCCGGTAGAGAGAAACGGCGAAGAGGAAGCTTGCGATATTGTATAAACACATCAAAGCATACGTATACATATGCTCTCCAAGCGAGATAGAAGAAGACGCAGAAGGAGGAAGATGAAAAGAAGTACTAGTACCATAGGCGCTAGTTCTACGGGCAGATATCTATACATGCATAGTACCTATGGACGCACGCGAAGTTAGCAAGAGAGAGAGAGAGAGAGATATGGTAGGAGGCATGGTAAAAGCCACACACACACACACATACAGAACTCGCGGCTCGCAGAACGCGAATTAATGCAAGAAAGAAAAAGAGACGACTCGCGAGTTGTGTGTGCAGTTGTGCGTTCGCGAAGAAGGCGGAAGGAGGAACCGAGTGGAGCGCGCGCGCGCGCGCGAACCGGTCCCGGTCACTGGGCCACCTGCCGGCCATCGAACTCGACACTGCAGCAGCAGCAGCAGCAGCAGCTCGCGAGCGCTGCTCCTATACATGCACATGCACACACACACACACACTTATCCCTTCCCTTTATAGGTGCGCTTCTCTATCTTCGCAGAAACCTTTTCCTTATGGTCTTTTCCTTCTCTCTGCGTCGCTGACTTTTTAGTTTTTACGCGATTGTTTATCATTTGGTTTTCCTGCGCGTACACGACCGGTTGTATATAAATGAATTTCATCGACGAGCAGTTTTTTTTTGTTATCAAAAGAAGAAAGAAAGAAGAAGAAAGAAAAGAAAGATCAAATAATTTTGGAAAATGTGGTAAAGGGTAATATGGAATACCCATGGAAGTCAATAGTTATTAACAATTTTTATAAATATATTGCATGATGAGTCTTTAGTAATTTGATGCGAGAAAAATATTCAATGCCGGTATTAAAAATAGATCATTATATCATGCGAATTCTTTATGTACTTTGATGCTCAATAATTTTCATAATGTATCATAAACTTGAAAATCTTGATGAAAATGTGAATGAAATCTAACAACTTTATTGCAACAATTACCTTAATTTTAATCATCATTGGGTAAATGAAACAAATACATTTTTCGCCTCGTGCACAGTCGATCACTTATCGATTGAAAAACCTACTCTGAGCTCCTGCGAGATGATAGGAATCTTGCTGTTTTGCAACAACTAAGGCTGTTAGCGCCACCTGTCTCGGGGTGATTGAAGTTATAAACCAATTTAGATGAAAAATTTAACCGGTAAGATTTTGTTATATCACTGATTATTTTTCTTTGCACGAAAGTATGAACAGTCAGTGTGCAGTAATGAGCACGTGTAAAGTTTGTATAATCCCAATGCATAAATAAAGATATGATACGATAGACACGTATTTGGATTAAATGATTGTCTCATTGTTTTACTCACAGTTTCAACGCATCAAGGTGTGTATCGCACTAAATAAAGTTTCACTGCAACATAGATGCGTTGCTCAACAGGGGGAATAATTCTACAATCATTTCTTTACCTCCTGCCTAAAAAATCTTGACATAACGTATTTTGATAATAACGAAAAAAAGACAAAGTTTATGTCCTGACTGAAACAGGCTGAAAGGAAAATGTTTCAATGATCACAACCATTAATTGGTTTGTTTTAGTGCTTTCTCTGATAAAATTATGTAAAATAATTGAGACAACATTTTGAAAGATATAAAAATGATAATAAAATTGTTCCGAAAAATCAAGACCAATTTTCAACCGCTTTTAAATCAATAATACCACTTTAAACCTTCTCCGCTAGATGGCAAGTACCTTCATTCGTAAATCTAAAAGTGGCAAAGTTGAAATAAAGATATAAGTTCAAACTCAAACGTAGTTCATTAGCGCTTGTTCTGGGGCATTTACCACGAGGTCGCAAATACAGTTTGATTAAACGAGTACATTCACAACTTTAAGATCAATATTGTAATTATTCAAATAACAGCAATAGCTTTACGTATAATTAGACGTAGTGTCTGTGATTAATATTTTGAAAAGCCAATTATTCTTATTGTTTTCATTATCTTAATAAAAGTCTATTGTTGAAGAAACCATTAATTATTAACACAAAAATTGAATGTAACATTAAAGTCACCCTATAAAGACTTTGAAATCTGTGAGAACCTTTCACAGAATAAATTCTAAGTTTAGCGATAAAGTGACAATGTTAAACGATCAAAATTCAGTTGATTCATTTTACGATAGCACCACGTACCATCTGAATAAAAAATGTTTGATACTAGCTGGTGGCTGGCCTTTTTTAAATCCAAGAAAAAGAAAAACCATATGGCTCGCCATTAATTTTTCCTTATTTATTGGATTTGTGGCAGAGGTAGATGAGTTTGTTTGCAATCGATTTGCTATAATATATGTGCAGTTGGAAAATTTTTATGATGCAGATAATTTACATCGGGGAAATAATCGATAGAACGACAGAAGTAATCAACTGCTTGATGGTAATTTTTTGTGCAATTTTGGCTTTTTGTTTATCGATCAATGGCGCCGTCAAATCTCACTCGGTAAGAAAAAGTCAAAAAAGTAGCTTCTCTCGATTAGTGACAAAAACTTTTCAGATGAAACGTCTACTCGATTCTGTGAGAGAAAATTGGAATGATTTACAGAGCGACGACGAAAGGAATATTTTCTCAAAATACGCTAATTACGGCAAGATTTTCACCATCGGCCTGTCAGGTATAGATATGACACTTTTACCGCTCGATGATAAAATTTTTGTTCGCCAGTTTGCTACTATTTGGTTCTATTGTGTCAATGTGTATCGCCACTGATACCTCCGATGCTACATTATTGCATCACGGGCAACTGGACTGACCCCGAAAGAAACATCCTGGATGTCGAGTTTTTCATCGATCCCGTCAAGTACTATTGGCCAATTTTCATTCACGGAGCTACATCCACCGTAGCGGCGGTTTGGATGCTTGTGGCTTACGATCTTTTCTTCGTCGTGGTGGTGCTGCACTGCTGCGGCATGTTCGCTGTTTTGCGGTAAATACAATTTTAAAAATTAACCCAACATAACCATTGTGAACAGTAGTATGATTTCAGATACAAAATCAAACAAATGGACATTATGCTTTATCGTTATTCCTACGATCAGCAGTTGGTCTTGAAAAAAATTGAGGAGATTGTGATGTACCATCTCAAGTGTCTCGAGTAAGTCTGTTCGAATTTCGTGAAATTTGTAAGATTTTGAGATATTGTTTATCCAAGATATTTTTAAACTCAGATTCGCCCAAAAAATCGAGGATTTTTTCTGCATTCAGTGTATAATACAGATATTGGTCAATACAATCGTGATAAGTGTATGCGGATCGCAGGTGCAAAATCAACGGCGATATTTGATATAATTCATGGTCTAATCATTGCCCTTGCAGGTCATACAACTTGCAGATACGTCTCCACAAGAATCATTCAAGTTTGCTTTCGTGGGCGTTTCGGGCACCTTTCGTCTCGCTTTCTTCAATGTCTGTGGACAAATCGTGAACGATCAGAGCCTCAGAGTACACGATCAATTGTAAGTTGACCATTTGCAATATCGCTCGTAATTCGAACAAATTGTTTTAATTCAGAATCTACACTACTTGGTACGAGTATCCAAAACGAGCAAGAAAATTATTCGTAATTCTTTACAATAGAAGCGCCGAGCCTTGCAATCTTACAGGTGCTAAAATGGTCAATCTCAATCTCGCCACTTATTCCATGGTACGTGAAATTCCTTATTAAAACTTATCGAATTGATTAGAATCAAAATTTTTCTTATCGACCCATTATTTTTCCAGCTAATGAAAACTGCTATGTCTTATTTCATGATGATTATCGAAACACAATAATAGATTAAAAAATGTTTTATATTAAATCAAAGTTCATAAACACACATTAAAACTATTTTACATTTTAATAAAGAGTGGGGAGCTGTGTACCTGCATTTATCGAAATAAGTATGATGACAAATCACTCTCGCTTGGCTGCAGAGATTTGTGTCTTGGAAAAAGCCCACGGAACATCTTCCATTTACGTTTGAAGCCATAAAATCATTATTATGTTATTATTATGTGTGTTGTTTTTTCTCAATCTTTGGCATTATCCCGGTAACCTTTGACGAGCGATCATCTAGATGTGATTTTATTGAAAATAATTATTCATGAAAAATCACATACAAGCATTCTTAGTTTTCAAGCCTGTGCTCGTCCGTGAGAAAAGCTCTCTCAGGGCAGAGTAGGTTCTCGAGCTCTATCCGATTACCTTTATAATAGAATCGTCGACCAAGCATCGCCCTCGGTCCTTTTTTGAGTTCCCTCCTCTTCTTGTTGTTTTGTCGTTGTGGCACTGCTCGACGCGGCTTGACATCTCGCCGCTAAGTTCCATCGCACCGTGTCTCCAGTCTCGCACACACGGGATCGCGGATACAGAGATGTCATACCTTTGCTTTGAAGCATTAGGGCTGAATTGCAAGATGCCTCGGTTGCTTGAAGCTGGACGCTTACGCGGCCTCGACATATTACTTTCCTTTACCAAAAATTTTGATGAATTTAAAAACTCATTTACTTAAAGTATTCGTTGAATATTCATTCATTTTTGGTTATATTTAAGTGAATTATTTTTTATATAGGCCGTACAAATAGTGCATGGAAATGTATTTATACACATTATTTTCAATCCAAAAATAAACCAAAAAATCTAATTCTGTACTCAAATTTAAACATTTTTATTAAAATTGTCAAAATATCATAATTAGTGCCAGTATTTACCGCTAGATGGCTTAAGTACCTTTATTTGTAAATCTGCAAGTGCCAAAGTCAAAATTATTGTATAAGTCAAAATGAGACAAATTAAATTTCGGGAAAATACTACGGCACCGCTCCAAAAATTTGGGGAAACATTTTTCAAATTGTCGAAATCATTTGACCCTATGGTCCGAGAAGCCGCCCAGACAGTTAATAATCAAAGGTGGCTGCTTTTGAACAGTCAGTTGAATTTAACAACTGACAGCCCAAGCAACACATTAGAATTACATTATTTAAATATACCAGAAGGATTAAAAATAGCGGGAACCACAGTCCAAACGGGCGACCACGGCTGAAGGATGCAGTTGAAAAGCTCCTTAAAGATAAATACCAATCCTATGCAAAATAAGTAAATTATTTTAGACTCACCAACTATTTTTTTATTACATTAAATTTATTACATTAATATCACTTTCTCGTTTTAGCATTGAAGATCAAAAGAATGAAGGGCGAATAGTTGTACGTTTTACCACATGAGGCAGATATTTTCTACCGGTTGGCATCAGAAAGAATAAAGACAAAGCCTTTATCGGGGGCGCAGCCTAGTAGGCAGAGACTCTGTTCGAGACAACGTTAACAACGAGCAATGAGTGTTGCATAAGGTGGTTGTTTGTCTCTCCTTGACAACAGGGAAAAATTCATCTCCAGATCATAATAGTAAAAAAATTGCCAACATCACATCTAAAGAGTCGACAAATGTTGAACTGGAAATGCCAAACGCCGTTTCTACATCTTTCATGCGTTAGGCTTTCGCCATAAAAACAAACAAATACATTTTTTTGTGTATTTTTTTCTCATCTTTTTAATAGTGTGGTTATTTTTTTTTTCGTAAATTTCCCAAAAACAATTTTCGATTTTTTTTATTCTCTACATTGAACTAGGAGGTCTTAATAAATTGTTAATAAAATAATCTTTTTTTTTTAGGGCAAAGTAGAAAAATTAGATTTTGAAAGAAAGCTGAGAGACCACATTCAAAACTTGAGGGTAACCTTTTTTAAATTATTAAAATCGGTTGACCCTATGGTCCGCGCAGCTGCCCAGACAATTAACAATCTAAGGTGGTTGCTTTTGGGCAGTCAGTTAAATTTAACTACTGACAGCCCAAACAACAGCTTAGATTTGCACTATCTAACTGTGCAAGAAGGTCAAAAAATGGTTGAGGTTAATATGAATCTTCAAATAAAAAAACGCACCACTCAAAAATACACCATTGTGACAGGAAAAGGCAACCATAGCCAAAACGGGCCTCGGCTGAAGAATGCGATCGAAAATTTCCTTAAAGATAATTACGCATCTTTTATACGGTAAGTAAATTATTTTAGACTCGCCAACTATGAACTAAGTTTAAGTTTGAACTTATATCTTTATTTCAACTTTGCCACTTTTAGATTTACGAATGAAGGTACTTGCCATCTAGCGGAGAAGGTTTAAAGTGGTATTAAATGATTGTAGAATGGACCAACATGATGTGCCGTCTTATCCAAATGAAATTACCAACGATCGTAACTCCTCGTAACCTAGATATTCAGAATAGGAAGGTACTTACGAAGCATTTACTCCAGCAAATATTTTAGAGAAATTACCCGACTCCTCTGATAACTAATAAAATAACTCTCTTCGAGTAGTTATACCAATCAAACCAAAAACTACAAGTGATATTAGATTTGATTTTGAGGATTAACATAATATAATCATTAATTCGTTTATTTTTAGTGATTTTTCTGTTGGAATTAAGTAAAAAAAAAATTAAGAACATTTCAAAAGATATAAAAATAATAATATAATTGTTTCAAAAATTCATAACCAATTTTCAACCACCATAGATACGATAGTACTACTTTAAACCTATCCCACTAGATGGCGAGTACCTTCATCTGCAAATCTGAAAGTGATAACGTTAAAATAAACGTATAATTCGATCGTCAAATGCTATCTTGTGAACAAGTCACAAGTGACAGATAAAAAGTTCCTCCTTTATTTTGAAATAAATTTAATGAGATTTAAATTGAAACAATTTTCAAAAACACATGATCTACCGTGTTCCATCTTTCTCTCGTAAAATTTTGTTAAATATTGATTTTTTTGGCATTAATGTTATACACATCGAACTAAGATCTTAAATTTAATATAATATTTACGAATCATAATACGAACTATAAAATGAAAGAAATACACTATCAATCTGCAGTATATTCATTTATTTGATGAAGCAACACCATACATAAAAAAATGTTTACAAATATGATTATTTTCATCATCGCGAGCTTCGATCCGCAGCCGCCAGACAAATGTTAAACAAATCCTTGTTCTGCAGCTTCTCAATGATAATTTCACAGCGCTTGGTCGACAGTCGGTAATGCATCAATTCCAAAAAAGGATCCAGGGCCCAGTCGTGGAAAAATTTTCTCAATACTTTCTCGCACAGACGCAAAGAACAAGCACCAATAGACTCTTTGGGAACCTTAAGGAATCCGTACGTGCTTGCGAACTTGAAGTAATCCATGTACGTGGATTTTTTCGCCATCTCTTCAAACAATGAATCGACCAAATCGTCAACATTCTTATTGGTCGAAAAATCCGCACTTTCGTAAAATCCGTACTCGTGGACAAATCCCATGAACTTCAGGGCGTCGTCTTGGTTCAGTTCGTATAAGCCTCTTGTCTCGAGCAGTTCGACGATGGCCAGCAGGCCAGTCGCAGCAGCCAGTTTAGTTACAGAACAGCTCCGGTTGAGAGCATAAATATCAAGATCATTGAGGTTAAGGTCATAGAATTTACAAACAGCCTCAGAAAGACTACCAAGTATTATATGATAATTGATGCCCTGGTACCTATCAGAGTCACTCGGGGTCGGAAAAACGAAGCCGGACAGGTCGGCGCCACAATCCAGAAGACTCTTAACTGTGTGTGGCCAGCAACGCGTCACGGCCCATTCCAGCGCTGTTCGGCCCAAATAATTGTCCCGGGCGTCGATCCTTACCGTCTGCTGCCATTCTTTATTTTTACTTGAAAACAATATCCTTACTATGTCGCTCCTGTCAATGAGATGCTGAGGTAGTAGTCCTTCCTCGTTGGCCAGGCTCGGATCGGCGCCTCGCATCAGCAGCGGCTCGATCATCTCCGCGTTTCCGCACGCAACAGCCAAATGCAACGCTGTGTTGCCCTCGTTGTCCCGGGCATCGACATTCACCGTATTCTCCATCTCATCGTTGACCCTGAAGAATAGCTGTGACAAGCCGTTATTCTCTATTATTTCGGATCTCTGGCACATGATGTGTAGAGGAGTTTGTCCTTTCGCATTGGCTAAATTTGGATCAGAGCCTCTTCTGAGCAGCTCTTCGACAATGTTCTTACTAGCGTTGTCCTTCAGAAACAAGTGCAACGCTGTGTTGCCCTCATTGTCCTGGATATTGAGCTGAACCGTCAGCTCGAATTCGTCGATGCTCCTAAGTAGCATTAGGATCACGGGGTAACGATTTTGACAGAGTGCTTGCAAAACAGTCGATCCGTCCTTGTTGGTCTGATTCGGATCGGCGCCATGTTTCAGCAGCGTTCGAATAGTCGCTTCTTCGGGATACTCCAAATTTGTGGCTGCAACATAGTACAGCATCGAATCACCTGTTTCTGGTACGAGGCAATTGGGATCCTGGCCGGCCTCGAGGAATTTCTCCACGACTTCGTCGAGGTTATACATGCAGGCCATGTGGAAATGTGTGTAGCCTGAATCGTCGGTATAATTTACGTGGAATTTGTCGTAAATTTGGAATAGGTTTTTCAGATATTGTTTGTTCATCCAACTGCCGGTTTTATCTAACCTTACATGGTGTACTGCTGTGGTACGACGCAGCAGGGGCTTACCGTCTTCGTCCAAGTCGGGCTCGTCCTTGTAGCCGCTGCGAGCGACGAACTCAACGATTTGGCAAATGAATCTCGGCCAAGTCGCCTTAATGCTCGCCACGAGAACCCAATCCATCTCTTCCTTTGTAAAAAAGTCGTGCAGATTTGGAAGTTCTTCCTTCCAATCACTTATTAATGCTCCAAAATCACTGAAAAATAGCTTTCGATGGTGTTCAACCTTCCAAAAGTAAATTTCACGTAACTTCTTCAATTTTTTTAATTTTGGATGCTCCACGTTTTTTTCGACTGCCTCGACTCCACCTACGGACCTCTCGCTATTTGACGAAGCCATTATAAATTTCGAACACCAACACACAAACACTGATTATTTAAAAAGTATATAAATTTTTTTTTTCAAAAACCACTAGCTAAATTACGATGTTGTAATTTGTACGGTCTGTAGACGTTCACTTTGATCTATGCAGAGAGTAAAAAACACGCTGTCGAAGCTGTGAGAGCTGTATGCACAGAGGCGGCTTGAAAGTGAAAGTCCAAAGGCAATGTCTCTATCTCGCTGGATTTTCACTCGTCCGCACTTGCGCAGAGCAAGATAGACAGAGTTTTGTGACGGTACAAAAAAATTCAAAATCGAGAACAGTTAAAATTTTAGAGAGAAAATTCAATCCCCTTTTTTATACATTTCTTAAGTAAAATTGCGAGATTTATCGATTTAGCTAGTCAAAAAGTCAATCGAAGTTGAATCCTCGAAGTTTTTCATTTTTGACCGCATCAGTAGAAAGCTAAGGTAAAAATTTATCGAAAACCTATAATTGTTACTTTTGTAATATAAAATGATTTTTAAGTCGAAAACAAAGACTCCAACTAAAAAAATCACAAGAGTAACTTTTTAATTATAATCATTCAAGAAAATTGAAATTTATTTAAAAAAACCTTTTTGATTGTTACTGCATTAAAATTTCATTATCTGAAGACTGGATTTTGTCATTCGAAAAAAAATTAATTTAAACGGAGGGGAATTAGTTTATTATTGGCAGGCATTTTTAAGAGCATCTTGAGCTGTGCTTTGTGACTTTATTTTCATTTGTCTGGTTTCTATTGATATAATTATAATTATGTCTTAAAACTTTTTTATTATTATTATTTTTTTATCATAATGTAGCCTAGCATTTATTTTTAAAATGGTCAATTTAACAGCATACTTTACGTAACTTGTGTGAGGTAAAACTTTTTACAAAAAAATGTCGTTAAAAATTGGCAAAAAAATCAACAATTTTATAAATTACTAATTAAAAAAATCACCTGTTTAATAAAAAAAAAGAGTGATTAATTAACTACTCATAATCATTTTTAAATAAATGAGCTTTCAGAATGTTATTTATCATTTGGTATAAATATCTTTGGATTAATATCTTTAATATTTATTATAATTATATACATACACAAAAAATGTGTAACAATTGGTTAGAGCAAAAATTATGTTGACTATTACAATGTATCGATAATTACATTCACGATGTAGATGAAATGATTGACTCAAAATATGTATTATATAAATGTTATTGATGCAGTACCTCATGTACATCTCCTTTCTCGCTCTTACTAAATAATAAAATTAGAAAATCTATAGTTACATTTTGAACTATAATTTAATGCACGCCTCGTAAATCAATATTTTACATGCATCGAAATCAAGAAAACAAATGCCAATCATGGAAATACTTTTAATTCGTTGGGGGGGTAAAATCAGCCTTTTCGAAAGTTCACAAATTTTTTGTTAAAAAAAATTTTTTTTTTCCAGAAAACCTGAGAGGTATAATTTTTTTCATTACACTAAATAATCTTTCTTCATTTTTACGACGATGTATTTGGGAGAATCGATGCGTATTTCACCTCTCAGTTTTCTCGGGCCTTGGCTAAAAACTCGACGAGGCACCGGAACTGCTCGTTGAGGAGGAGGAGGACAGCGACGACGCGGGCAGGCCGGATCCGGACGACGAACCGGACGACGAGGCCAGCGAGGAGGGCGAGTTGTACGAGTTCGAACTACTGCCACCCGTGTAGTAGTTGTAGGCAAGGTTTTGGGATTCCAGTGCGCCGCTGCTGCTGGGCGTCCAGACACGGGAATAGGGGCCGCTTCCATCCCAGGCGTTCACCGGCTCGTAGCCGGAGGTCGTGGTGGAGATCGGCGGCAGACCGTACGCCGGAACGGGGGGCGTCGGCTCCATCGTCACGCCTGTGAGAAAAAATCATCGGAAGCGTTGGAAATTAACTCGATTACCTATACGATATTGATGCCAATGCTTACCCATCGGAGCGGCCATGCCTCCCTTCTTGAAAAACTGGAAGGCTATGAATCCGACGACCAGCAGGATGGCGAGCTTCGACAACACCAGAGCCTTCATGGCCTTGAGGCCGATGATCGCCACGAAGATGGGCATCAGTGCTTTTAGCTTCAACTTCAGCAACAGCAGAACCGGCAAAAGCAGCTTCTTCTTCAGCAATCCTCGGGCCTGCGCGGTGGCCACCTCGTTGTTCTTGAACTCGACCTCGAGATCGGCCAAGTTACGCGCGGGTCGATACTTGAGCCTCGCGTCGAACACCGGCAGATCGACTCCGTACTCGAAGCTCTTGAAGTACTTGAAGTAGCGCGAGAGCAGCGCCTCGTCGATGCTGTCCAGGGATCTGGCCTCGGTCTTGGTGCCCAGTCGTTCGTCGAGATAGCCCAGCATCTCGCGCTTCAGGCACGACGTCCACGAGTCCGCCTCGACGCAGTCGTTCAACGATCGCGTGAGAAAGTCATCGGCCATGGTCGTCGCGATCACTAGGCCCACAAAGCCGATCACAGCTATGAATCGCATCTTCGTATTGTGTTTTCGATTGAACCAATGTACAATGAGAGACACTTAGACCGAGGCACACAGAGAGGCACAACAAACAAACAACAACAATGATCGATGATCGAACCGCGACTGAGCGTAGGAGTGGCCAGCCCCTTTTATTTAATTCGCCCCCCGACGTCGTCGAGCCGCGAGTCGTCTGAAAACCGATGCGCTGACACAGAATCTATGTTATTCGGTCGCGCATGCGATGAATAGCCGATCGGTGAAAAAAAAAAATCATCGTATTAAAATTTCATTGGCAGCGAGAGAGCAGCAGCAGTAGCTCGACGGGAAAACGGAACTGCAGCGCGTACGTGTTTTTTATTATGGGCGGTGCATCGCGACGACTTTGAGAGCTCTCCGTCGTGCGTTGGAATATGCGACTCGATAAATGACACACACGCACACATTGACAGGGCTTCTAAGCCCTGGATACATTATGCGTGCATAGGAGTGGCAGAGTGACTTTGGAGCAACGCTGTACTGTAAATCTTTTATTTTCGATACTTTTTTGCATTCTAGAACAAGTGCACTTTCACTTGCTGAAAGAAATTATGTATAGCTCGCATTGTAATAAGTTGGATCATCGAATCTTCGAAGGTGTCGAAAAGGGATAAAACCAATTATCCACCGATAGGAAAGGAAGCATTACTGATTTAAATTTAAATGCTATGACACTTGATAAAGTATAATTGAGCCTGAGCTTTTCAAAGGAACTTTATTTTATCGATACTTTTGAAAATTATGGTACGGAATCAGTGATTCATTTTTGGCAATAGAACAATTCGTTGCGTTAAAAAGCATGACTAGGATAACAATTTAATTCTAGATTCGTAGAAGCATTCACTGCACCGATCGTTTCAGTTTGACAATAATGGGTCATGGTTAGTGGAAGTTTTTATAGCTTTTCTCAAGACAAAGTGAGCCTAACATTTTTTGAATGACGTTTTAAAAATATAAATCGATGAATATTCGTTATAAAAATTTCGTTTGATAATATCCATTTTGATAAATTCTATATTTAGAATTTGAATTATATTCTTAAACTCATGATTTTTATTTTTCTAAAAAAAAATATAGAAATTAAGTAATTGTATAGAATAGGGTGTTTATACAAGTTTTAATGCAATCAAATTAATGCAATTGAAAGTTAAAATTTTTAATCACATTTAGGTGTGTATCGCTTGTTAAGATAATGCTTTTTTCTGATATTCATTGCATAATATTTGAGCGCAAAGTTACATTGAGTTTGCATCTAAGGTTGTCTAGACTATTCAGTTATTTTCTAATGAAAGCTTTCAACAAAAAAACCACCCATAACCCTGCCAGGAATATTCGAATTAAATACTGGACTACTGACTAAAAAATTATGACTTAATTGTTTAAAAAATTGAGACCAGTTTTCAACCACTTCAAAAAAAATCATGTTACTTTAAGACTTCACCACTAGATGGCTTTGTCTATGAATCTGCAAGTGGAAAAGTAAAAATAATTGTATAAGTCAAACTCGATTGACACTCGGTTTTTATCGATTTTGGCTATTCATAATAATTCTATAAGTCTACTGAAATCCTTAATAATTACAGTATTTATGATTATCAAAATTTTTGATTGAGTCTTTCGATTTCAAGAGGAAAATTGAAAATTACTATTGAAAGTGTGTTTCAATGGTACTTTGCATGAATTTTATTTTGTCAAATAATTTACATTGTGGCCGTTTATAAACGTTACACTTTTAGTTTCTATAATTCCACTTATAACACTTCATGTCCATGCAACTTTTTCATAAGCCAAAAACTAGGCATGTAATGGTAAGCATTTCTACCAATGAAAGGACGCATTATTTTTTAATAGACCCTCATCCATAAATATATGTTGAACTAGATTTATAAATTCAATAAATGGTCCGTTTAAAATGAGTTTATATAATAAACTTTTTACATTCACAAATTTTCTAAAATGTAAAAACTCTATGGATGCGTCTCGTAACGAATATTTCAAAACAAGAAGCTATATCGAGTCTAAAAAGTGTTCGGCAATTAGAGTGTGATCTGTATCGATGACAGTTGTTGTTGAAAAGTCAGTCAGCCACCAAAATATTAACGTAATCAAGTTATTGCTGTAGTTTTTTCTTTATCAAATCATCTCTAATCAGCAATATTGATACTTTCTATGAATGTACGTAGCCCTGAATTGCAAAAGTAAAAAAAATTTCCGTCTTAGTGAAAATGTTGTAATCTTTCAAGTTACATTGAAAATTTTTATAACCAAATGCACATAAAAGAGTTTTTAAAATCTTCTCGTTCAAAATAATTCAAGCACGTATTGTAAAATAAAGTACCATAATTTGTATTAAAATAAAGCGAGTATTTATTTTATTTACGTAGAAAAATACAAAATAAGTTTTCTAAAGAGAGATTGGAAGAGAAGAGTATATTACAATAGTCCATCGACCGACGAATCGAGTCGAACGTGTTACACAACATGAGAAAAAAAAACACCGCAGCTCAAGCTTTGGCGTAGGCCGCGTAAGCCAAATCTTGGGCCGCATCGACTTGCTGCTGCTGCTGCTGGACGTCTTGGAACGATCTGTACTGGGCCGCCTGGTACTCCCAGGGTCCGTGAGCGGCGATGGGCGCTGCGTGACTGTCGGCGGCGATCTTCTTGCAGAGCTGGAAGATGGCCAGGCCCACGGACACGACGAAGCTGAAGAAGGACAGCTGGAGCGCGTTCCAGGCCTTGAGGCCGAGCACGCCGATCGCCAGCGGGATCAGGGTCATGGCCTTGAGCAGCACGAACACGAGGATGGGGATGATGACCTTCTTGAGCTTGGATTTGCGCGCCTCGACGGCTCGGCCCCCGGCTGAAGCTGCCGCCGCCTCGTCGTCGGCGAACTTGACGTTGAAGTCGATCTCGTTGCTGTCGATGTTCCTCGACGAGACCTTGACGGAGGTCGTGAAGGGAAGCTTGAACGTCACGTCGTGGGAGGTAAGGTAACTGACCACGGTCTCGAGGAAGGATTTGTCGCTGCTGCTGCGACCCGTCATCTCGTCGGCGGAGTACGAGTTGCGGGTGACTTCTACGCTCTCGGAAACCTGTGCGAGAAAAGTATATCATCCATGAGAAATCGAAACAATATTAAAACCCAATCAATGCTTACCTTGAAGTTGTCCTTGCGAAACAGCTGATCGAGAAGATTGAGAATCTTGAACTTCATGCACGATATCTCGTCGTTTTTCTGCGAGCACTCGAGCTTGGTCTGCTCGACCATGGCGTCCATGCTCGTGCCCTTCCAGAACTCATTTTTGGCCGGCTGAGCTGTCGCGGCCAGAGCCAAGCAGCACAGAAGAACGATCCTCGCGATTGAATGCATTTTTTCTCTCCGCTCGTTTTCGCACTTTCTTATCGGGGTGACACTCGAGTGGTCGCAACGACGAAACTGATGGTCAGTCCAGCCAGGCCATCGGCTTTTTATACGCGCTTTGCGCCTTCGGAGCTTCGGAGCTTAATCCCCTCTATCCGTCTCTCGGGTGCATTTTTTAACGCATCCACACACGCACGCACACACGTGCGCGCGTGAATTTCTCTCTGACACACCGGTGTGTACCGCTGCTGCTCTTGAATTTTCTTTTCGTTCGTTAGATCGATGCCACAATATTACGGGCGCATCGAGACTTGCGATGCGTCGTCGTCGGTGGCGGCGCGCGACGTGACGCGAGTACGAAATAGTACGCCGGGGCGATATGCAAGTAGGAAAACATTATGTATACTCGTGGGCAGCTGTCGGGTATTAAAAGTAAAAGAATTTCTGGGTCTCTCTCGTTCGCGCCTCCGTTGTAGGACGATGGCCTCCTTCGCGTACTTGGCGATATAATAAATTTAAACCAGCTCGCCCGCGATAGATCGATTTAGATATATATATACCAAAATGCAGCGTGAAACTGAAATTGCAGGCGATTGCGGTGATTACGACGAGAAGCTTGAACTTTCAATTTTCATAGACAAAGTTGTGAAACGTTCGGGATAGAAAAAATTGTACGATCACTACTGAATGTTTAAGGAAATTTGAAGTCATTGTCGGTCTGGCGAAATTTATCACGCACACTGAATTGTTGTTGAATTCGTACGTTTCATATTAATAGATAAATTAATAATGGCTGCATGTTTAACGATCAATGATGCATCAATTTTTAGAGGCCAATTTAAGAAAAGCGAAATCTCGGCTGAAAACTTAATCTCACTTGGAGTTCCTAACCCTAATAATGTCTTAATGAGCGGAAAATGATCATTAAAAATTAATGAGTATGAAATTAATTATTAGCTCGTTTTTGGAGATTTTTTTGACAAGCGCATTCCTTCGTTAAAAAAATCATGTGAAGTCGTTTTATTCGTCACCTCATTGGTCGAGGAGTAACAGCGCCTCGCTTCATGATTGGTCGGAATTTCGCGTCGATCGTTCATATAATTTTTTTAGAAAGAAAACTTAAATACGGCGTTTGCTAAAATGTTTATAGTTGTAAGTCATCAGTTATTTAAATTTAGTATTTGTCATTTTCACTTGATCAGCTCGCCTCATATCACTAGTACTACAAAGTCTCCAAAAACGAGCTAATAATTAATTTTATACTTAGAAATATTTTAAATGATCATTTTTTAAATATTATTATAAACTTTAAAATAACCTGAAGATGATCATATTATAGATTTAAAAAATTCACATTCGACCAGTTTTCAAGCACAAATACAATAGTAAAATACAATAGTCTCATTTCAAGTCTCCACCACTAGATGGCAAGTACTTCTATATGTAAATGTGCAAGTAGCCAAGTAAAAATATTTGTATAAGTTTGAGATAAGTTAGATGTATTGTGAGTTTACATTGTCTGCTGTCTCACTTCTTTGGTGGTATGCGAACAAGTATATGATAGATGTAAGCATCAAACATCAATGTTCTTAAGTTTGAGATAAGTTAGATGTCTATGATTATCTAGTACATGTAAGTCCGTTGCTATATTGTAAGTTATTACAATATTATTACTTTGTATTGCCTCCAAAAACTTATTTAAAAATATCTTGGCTATTTATATTTTTTGCTCATTACATCCTCGTAGAAAGCATAACTTGTACGCTTCTGCAAAATCTCGCCACTTGTGTTCGTCCATTGTTCGTCTCATTCATAGGATTTTTAAGATCCTCCGCGTAATAATCCTAAAATTCTTCACTACAAAAATCTTTAAAAGATTCAAACTTTATTTTTATTTCTTGTCTCTCAGCTGTATGTATGAACACTAATATATTTGTATAAGATCGTATAAGTTCATCCTATTTCTATACAGATTCAGAATTATAAATGAATTGGTCTTGAATGCAGGTAAGTAACGAAAGACTTACTTACATTGCAAAACATATGTAAACGTTGTTCTTCGTCACCCTAGTTTCCAAATGAATAAGTGTTATTCTTTGTAAAGAACTTCATTAGGCTACATTTTTAAATAAAAGATTTTCTTCGTAAACGCCGGCGATGTATAGACGCGCCCCTGAAACTACGTTAAACTTCATACTTTCAAGTACTACGTCATGAAAGCATTCAGGAATCTAATCGATTTTAAAATGCTCTTTAGAAATTGACATGAATTATGTTAATTCGACAGCAATCGGTGTCGGGTCATCTTATAATTAATTAATGAAACGAATCCCGTAATAAATTTTGAATTCAACAATCGAATACTGCTCCGTCCGTTTGTAACATCTAGTTATGCATACTTCGTAAGTTCTCGATTCCGTTCCGGCATAACATCGATAGAGAATATTTAATCGTATCCGATGGACGATATGTGCAAGCTTTTTTTAGGTCATAAATGTTAACTGGTTCAATGATTTTTAATAGTAACCTCGATAGGTTACAACCTACATTATGAAACCATTTAAAATAGATATTTCACTCTTTTTGACACTTTTCTTTTTAAGATTTTGATGTCATTTTCGTGTTCCCATTACATTTTTCCATTTCTTTTCATTTTCTTCTCGCTTTCATTTTTCCTCTTCACCATTGTCTAATGGTAAACAATTACAAATCATAATGAAATAATTTTTTTCAATTTTTTCCAGTAAAAATACTGCTTGTCAATCTAATTCTTATAAGGATTCTTGATTCATTCATAATTAATATAATTTTGGCTTCATTTATATTTATGTAGATGAGAATTAATTAAAATCATGAGGTAAAGCAAAATCATCAAAATATGTCAAGTTTTCATTTTCATTATAAAACAGTTTATTAAAAAATATAAAAACTCAATGCTCGATTACAACGATCTTATAGTTACAAAATTTACAATACATATAATCAACACAAGTAATCATTTTATTATATTATATATATCTAATATTTATTTTCGGTAGGCTCTGTAGGGCGCGTGGGCGGCCACGTCCCAGTGGGGCGGATGCTCGACCGGCGGATGGCCGAGGTGGACGACCTCGTACGCGACCTTGGGCTTGGTGAGCTTGAAGATGAGCATGGCGCCGCTGAGCACGAGCGAGAGCAGACCCAGGGTCAGGGCCTTCCACGTCTTCATGGCGATGAGGGCGAAGGCCAGCGGCACCAGGGCCGTAGCCTTGAACTTCAGTCCCAGCAGAAATGGTATCATGACTTTCTTCACGAAGCCACGGCCTGCGTTGAAAAAACGATAAAATTAATGAAACACATTTTTTGATTTTATCAATGTCAGGACAAAAATTGATTCTTGCCATTTTCAACCGGAGCGTCGCTGAGGGGAACGGCGATGCTTGTAGGCACGGACTCGACCAGCGATCGCGGCACGATGTCCGAGTCGACGATGGCCCGCGGCAGTCTCGCCTCCAAGGTGTGACTAGACAGGTACGAGTCGAGCTTTTCCAGCATGAGGGCGCGCAAAAACTTCCTCTTCGACAGCTCGATGGAGTCCTGGGACGAGTACTCGAACTCGTCCACGTCGTCGATCGGAAGACTCCTCGAGCGCAGAATGAACAGATCCTCGGTGATGGGGACTTTGTCCTGCTGAGTGGCGTCGCTCAGGTACTTCAGTACTTTGGGTTTGGCGCAGGACAGAGGGGCCTCGTCGTTGAGACATCTGAACGAGTAAACAAAGGAGTGGCGCTTGAAAAACTCTGGTCTTATTTCGATTGTCAATTATATTTACCTTCGGTATATTCTTCTGAGCGCATCGACCATGGTTTCCTCGTTGTCTTGCGATGACTCGGCTCGGGCCAAGCACGCCACCACCGAAATCAGAAGCACGATCTTACAGGCAAGTTTCATTTTGTGTGTGATTTTTTTTGTTCGAGGTTACACCTTTATTTCTCCAACGAAACAAATGAAAGCAAACGAGCCGCACTTGTTTTTTTCTTAAGTTTTTTTGTTTGTTTTTTTTTATGTACCAAACAAGCGCGAAGCTTAACACCGAGTGCCATCGAAACGTAGGACAACTTATTTTTATAGCCGATGGCCAGCAGAAGCCAATTTCGCGGGCGGGGATGAAGTGCGGGCGAGGATCGAATTGATATCGACTGCACGTAGCACGACGCTCGGGCGCGCGCGCGTCTTTCGCGGCGAAGAAAGTACCGTGTGTGTGTGTAAGACGACAATGGGAATTGTTATTTGGAGTACCGGATCGAGAGCTATGCAACGCCGCCGCGACGTATGTGTTTGTGCGAGTAAACGTGTACGCGTTTAACCCTATTCTTTCGTTCGGTAAACAGAGCGAATTTCATTTTCACTTTGGTGACATTTCCGCTTGTCGTTCTTTTTTTATTTCATCAAAGTCGGTGCGCTGGTAAAAATTCTTAACTTTTAGTGGATAGTTCTTGAGTAACGAAAGAATTTCTTGGGCATAATAGGGCAATTAGAACTGCGCGCATACTAATCAAAAGTTACCTTTTATTTTAAATTGTACACGCTACACCCTGGTTTTGTTATTTAATGACTATTTTTTGACTATTTGAAATTTGTGCCAATTATTTCTTAAATACACTGTCAATAGTTATTTTTCGTTTTCTACGTTTGAATGTTGCAAATGCAGTGATTTGTACCGGCTTTAATCAATGAATATTAAAGATACGGTAATGGCAAAAATCTCACTCACAGTTTCTTGAGCTATACCATGCAAACAAAAGTCAAATTTTAAGACATGAAGCTTCAATCAACAGTAATCTGTTCGAAGTTCTCGAGCTTATTGAAAACCTTGCCTCGACTTATACAATTATTCTCACTTTGTCACTTGCGGATTTGCAGATAAAAGTACTCGCCATCTAGTGGTGGAGGTTTAAAGTAGTTTTATCATTTTGAAATTTGTTGAAAACTGTGATTGGAACAGCTAAATTGTCATTTTCTGGTCTATTATTCACGCAATTGCTACAGAGGTATTGCTTAAACACGCTAATTAATACAACAATAAAAAATGTGAAGGTTTACGAATTGAAGATAGTATGTAGTATGTAGTTCATTTAAAGAATCATTCTAGATTGAGATCGCTGCCAATATATTGTCAAGTAGTTTTCTTTCTAAAAAATAATAACATGCAAATGTTGTTTTCTTTTTAATTAAATTTTAGCTATCAAATATTATTTAAATATGAAAATTAAAATTTCAACTATTTTTAATAAATCGAATCAAATTGTATACTCAAAAAGTTTCAAGATATAAATTTTTGGAAAATTTCACTTAGACGAGGTTTTTATCTTTTCTGTAAAATCTCTCGCAACATGTAAAAAGTAATAATATTAGCAACCAACGAGCGTGTTTTTAAAGATATTTTTTTCCAACTCAGCTGATCAAAATTAATTATAACTTTTAGAGTTTTTTAATCAAAATTTGATCAATAAATTAAGGAACTCTCTGTTTACCTGCCGGTAGAGTTTGTACTTTTTATTTTCATGAAGAAATTTTTTTAGAAATTTCCTATGATAAGAGAGGCAAAAATCGCAATAATGATCATGACTTACTTTTTAGATGGTATCGGTAGATGGTAAAATATAAAACCTAAATGCTCGGTCGTTATAATATATACAAGTATTTCTTCATCGCGAAGTGCATTTCGGATTAATGCATTAATTTAACTAAAAGCCTGACTGTATGAACTTAGTGTTAATTGAGAATTAACAAAATTAATAAAAAATTATATTTATTATAAACATAATCTCGTTCATAATTGAGTTGAGGGATCAGTTCAATGCATCTTATTTAAGGCTAAAATAGTAAAATTTTCAAAAGTAATTTGTTTAATAGTTAATGCCGAGTTTATTTAGAGCGTTAGTCATTGCCGAAAATTCAAATACAATGACATAAATTTTCTCTGTTTACATTTATTTTAACGCAGGTATCATGATTTGTAAATATTATCAAATTTAAATTAGTCAGTTTAGTGTTGTAAGATTACTAGTCGTCAACGAACTTTCAAGACAGAAAGATGGAATCCAGTGGTTTTAATGTTGACAGGTAGTTCTCATAATATGAGAATACAAAAAGTTAAAATAATTCGACATAATACTTCATTTTATTAAAAATATTTCAGAGTGAAAAAAGAGCCTTGTGAAGAGTTTTTCAATGAGATTGATTATGAAGTAATTGACGAGACGCCAGCTGCTGGAGATTTTCAATCCTTGAGGCATCTGCGGGAAAATTCAGTAAGTGTTGAAATTTTTTTGGGACCATGGCTTTTTAGTTGCCTACATAAATATTTTCACAGAAATTAAATTTTATTATAGACTCAAGCGCTGCGAAAATGTGACGAAAATCAAGAAAATGAACTTGACCTGCGAATCGAATTGGAATGTAGAGAACAGAAGCCTATCTTGAATTTACCAGCAGTCAAGAAAATGGAGGATCATTCTCAAAATCACTTGCAAGGCATAAAGTATTGCTACGATTATCATACTCATAACATAATTAAAGTAGAAACTACAGGAGTAGTAAAAAAAGAATCTTTCGACGAAGATCCAACAAATGGACTCAGCGACCCAAACCAAAAAAGAAGAGTTGAAAAAAAGTTAATCTATGAATGCGGAAGCAAAAAACACATCGACTCGACACATGATCGTATCACCCACACTTGCGATATATGCGGGAAGACATATGCCCACAAAAAGGCTCTCAAAGTACACATCGATTCAGTGCATAATAAAATCACTCACGCATGCGAAATATGCAAAAAGACATTCAAATATAAAGTTAGTCTCAAAAATCACCTTGTTATACACAGTGGTCTGAAAAAGTTCAAATGTGATTTATGTGAAAAGAAATACCCGACAAAGGGTCATCTCCAATATCACATAGATTCTAAGCATAATAAAGTCACCCATTCGTGTGATATATGCGGCAAAAAATTCACACAGAAGAATGGTCTTAAGGCCCATATCAATGAGATTCATAGTAAAATCACTCAAGAATGCGGTGTATGCGGGAAAAAATTCGCAGCCAAGAGATATCTTCAAAATCACATAAATATGACGCACAGTGATATCAAATATACCTGCGATATGTGTGAAAAACAATTTGCAGCGAAAAAATATCTCAAAAATCACATTAGGGTGAAACATTGTGGTATCGCTCACGCATGTGATTCACGAGGAAAGGAATATAAAAATCAATGTAGTCTCGATAAACTTGTAAAATCTTCGAATAATTATACCACGCATAAATGCGTTACATGCGGAAAGACATTTGGAAAAAAAAGGAAACTCAAAGTGCACATCGCCATGGCGCATCGCTAATGCATCATGAGTTTATGAATGATATGAAATCTGTATTTGATCCTCGTATGAGAAACTCTTATGTACGAACGAGGGTATTTTTTCAAAATACTGATTTAATCATTTTTATTTATTGATGAATTCTGCCTATGCTATGTTGTCTGTCTGTAGCATACAGAATGATAGATAACTAGAGATTCTGTAAAAAGTTTCTTTGAATAAAATTTTTATACCGTCGATATAAAATGGAAAAATTAGGCTCGATTTATTTTGAACTTTTTAATTTTTTAATTTAGAGCAAAATAGTATCTTGAAACAATTACTACATAGCTTTATTTTTTCTTTAGATTACATTGGAACAATAAGTATAATGAAATTATTCTGTAATGAATTTATAGAGGAATAAAATTGGCAAAAATAAATCAATGAAAATCATAATTATATAGTCAATTGAATGTTATTATTTACTTTACATTACATCGAAATTGATCGATTCGTCAAATACATCATGTAGTCAACAACGTACACTTAATATTCGTTAAGTAATGACATTTATACTTAATACTTGCGCACAACTTTTTCTTGCACAATCATTAACTCTTTCGCATTCTCGATCAAGTGTTCATTGTTCCACAACCTCCCAGTTTTATAGGATTAAAATTGATCGACTGAAATGGCACCTTTTTAAAAGATTTACAAGTGTATATTCATCTACGTAGCTATGATTTTTTTTTCCGTTGTTGTCTCAACGTGTCCAGATGACGGATCAAAGTCGGTCTTACCCTAGTAATGGTAAAATACTAAATATATTTTCTAACGCGACACGTACAACCCGCGACACTTCGACGTGTCACTCGAATTCAGATTAAATTAAAATTATTTATATACAGTTAATTCGGACGTATCCACAGAAGCATTTATACTCACTCGCGTAAAATGTATCAATCGATTCTATCGATTGCGTTCGCGATCAATTAATTATTATAAACTATACACTTCGAACGAACAAACAACAAAAAAATTGAAATCGTTCATCTTCGTCGACGAACATTTGATTTTAAAGTAGTTTTGGTTTTAACGTCATTAGTTAATCTCGATGTATACGCTCCCCAGTCACGTGCATCAGAAAATTCGTAACTCAATGCAGTCTCTCGGCGATCGTCGAATTTTACAATCGATACAGTTCGAGAAACATCGAACGAATCTTCGTCGCACTTTGCACACAACGCACGAGATTTCGAGCGTACACACACGAAACTGCTCTACACACTATAAACAATGCATCGTATTTATAACGCCGCCAAATCGGAATCATTCCGTCTTGATGGCGCAGTGATACGTCCTCAGGCAGTCGCCTCTATCTTGACCCAATCGCGCCGCGTTGAAGTATCGATAGAAGCGCCGACTCGATTCCGAGCGCGAATTTCCCTGCTGCAATTCTTGCACATCTCTGAAAAAGGTACAAAAAAAAAGTTATCATTGATATCATATACCGTGTTGCTAGATTGATTCATCTCGGAAGTTAGAAATGTATAGTATCGAAGTAATCGCGAACGGACGCGTAAGCGCGTGTAAGCTGCACCGCACACGCGGACGCGCGCGCAAAACGCAATCTCCGCTCGCACAGACTCGATGACCTAATTCGGTAAAAGTACATTACGTCGCGCGCGCGAGTACATCGCGCACCACCTTTCTCCGCCTCTCGTGTGCTCGCACACAACATTTCTCTCTCTTGGCTCTTATCCTCTCATTTATTCTCCTTGGTATCTGATCCAGAAATCCAGAATTTAAGCGCGCGGAGGTGAGAGGCGCGGTCCTCTCGGTGTACGATATTTAAATTCAATATAAGCTCATTCCGATCAGCTGTGTGGCGAGAGAGAGTTATATATTATCAACGACGCACGCGGGGCTCTAATATCCTCAAAAAAGGATTAATTATCCAATCAGCTCGGCGGTAGAAAATGTCGTAATAAGCTCTACTTTACACTCGAAGACGTTTGAAGAACGATTTCTTTTTATTCCTTTTTCTCTTTTTTTTTCTTTTAAAGCGCCCAATTAAATACGTATACATACGCTCATAAACATAGTCGCGCAACGTGATTCACGCTGGGACGTAATTAGCGCGTATCTAACACACGTGTGTGTGTATCAAAAGGCGCGCGTTTTATCATTATATTACGCATTTGTATTATGTGTACCTGGATAGCTCGTTGGACACGAGGTTGCTGTGCGGCGTGTACTGGGCCGGATTCTTGTACATGCTGCAGACTAGTCTCTCGCGGCACTGCTCCTCGGTGAATCGCAGCTGGGCGAAGATCTCGTCGAGGCGCTCGACGATCGGCCCGAAGAACTTGTCGTCGTACTGCTTCGTGCGCGTCATCGGCATCGCCACGGCTGAGGAAACAAAACATCGTTGGATTTTCAGGTGAAATGATATAATTGTTCTTCGCATGCAAAATGCGGTTCGAGAGTGTGATTTGACCAAAAAAAAAAGTATAAAATTATTATTATAATAATTACCTCCGGAGCCTATAACAGTAGGTTGCACTTGCTGGTCGATCTTTGACTGATGCTGCTGATGCTGCTGCTGCTGCTGCTTCGCCACAGCTTTTTGCTGCTGCTGTGGTTGCTGCTGCTGTGCAATTACATGTTGATTCTTTAATTGTTGCGGTTGTTGCTGTTGCTGCTGTTGCTGCTGCTTCTGCACTGGTTTCGCAGGTGTCAGCTGGTAAGGCGTCGCGAAGATCGCGGGCACTCCTCCTGCCGCGACCACTGGCCCAGACGGTGCCGGCAACACACCGGGCGGCAGTCTGTTGTTGGGCGCGTGAGCCCCGTAGGCCAGACTGTTGGAGATCTTGTCGGGGAACGGCCTTCCGAACATCGCGGGTGGCATGACGAACGGCGGCAGCGGCGGCACCTTCGAGCCACTACCCATTTTCGTTCCGGGCGGCGGTGGTCCGTGATAGACGACGCCCGCGGCCTCCTCGGGCTGCGCGTCGTCGTCGTCCTGGCCCTCCTCGTAGCCCGTCTCGATGCCCCACTCCTTGAGCTCCTCCATGTCCTTGCGATACTGTATGTGCGGATGGGCGTAGTCGTAGCCCTGGAAGTTCTCGTCGAGGATGATGGGGCCGCCGTCGTCGTGCGGCGCCACGGGCGGATGATCGTAGTAGACCTGCGCGGGCTTGTGGTAGACCGGCACCGGGACCGGCAAGTGGTGATGATGGTGAGCGACCTGCGCGAGCAGCAACAGAGAGAGAGAGAGAATGTAATTTATAGATATTTTTCCATTAAAATTCATGGAGCGATCGCTCTTAACTGTTCCGGCCGTAAAAGAAAAATTTGCATGAATATATTTTATATACGGCCATAAAAGCGCAACTGTTTTTTCGCGCCGCTGAATTCGCGTGAGGAATTCTCGCGTAACGCGCAAATTTTCGTCGATTCGTTATATTACATGCTGCGTATCGGTTATTATACAATACCTTGTTATGATGGTGATGATGATGCTTGACGGTGGAGTAGTAGCTCGAGCAGAGCTTGAACACGTGCGCGAAGGCCGGCACGAAGAACAGCAGCAGCTTGAGGAAGAGCTTCTTGGCGGTGCCCACGCCGAATAGGAACGGAATCACGAACATGAACTTGAGCTTGATGATCTTGATGAGGAGGATCAGCAGGAGGATCGCCCCGAAGATCTTGTTCTGGATTTGTTTTTCTGCGAGAGAGAAAAAAAGTAAATATTGATGAATATTATAATGCAATCAACAGAGAGCCCCCCTCAAAAGAGAGAGAGGAATTACATAGTAGTACAGATATTGTGTGCCGTTAAAGCTATACGTTTACTGCAAAGTACGCAAAAAACTACTGCTACTACCGCCTGCGCCAGCCAACAACCCATTATTATAATTCAATGATAGTTAATGCAGTAATCTCGAGGATTTATTAAAGCTCCTCCGAGTCACGGAACTGAATCGTAAACTATATCGCGAAACACGTCGTCGCGAATCGTCAATTAATTCGACCTTTTCTCTCTCTCTGCTTTCGGGAGCGAGGAACCGTTAATTTTTCTGTCGACGACACAGCGCGACGTTTGCGCGATAATTATTACACACGTACGTACGTATATATTGAGTGACGTAGTAGTCGATACACAGACTGAGGGCATTTAAAATTCACTAATTTATTCTCGTCGTTCAATATACAGAAGAGGAGAGACACACATGAGAAATAAATAATACGAGAAACAGGTGTCGCGACGCGACTACTCCATAGCGGCGGCGGTGGCTGAGTCTCTCTCTCTCTCTCTCGCATAAATGAAATCCGGTGCGATGTGTCAGTGGGTCAAGTGCGCGAATGTGTTTACATACACAGACACGTATGTATACGCTGCGCGAGCAGCTGTTACCACGTGGGTTATAACTACTTACTCCACACACGCACGTAATAACGGTACTTTTATAAAATTCTCCGTCTCTCTCTTTCTCTGTGCCAAAGGTATAATATTCACGCGCGTAAGTCGGTAGCAGCAGCGGCAAGTAAAAATTAACTCACTGATTTTTTTCAGTATGAATATGCGTCCCGACGACTGCTCCTCCTTTGGCTCCAGTGCTCTGCCGCCGAAGTCGATCCTTATCAGCGCCCCGGTGGCGTCGATCTCTCGCGGACTTATCTTCATGTTCACCCCGTCGGCGATGAATCCGGGTAGCTGTATGTCGTAGTCGCGCGTGGCCAGGAACTTGATGGTCTTCTTTCTCAAGGCGTGAGTCACCTCCTCCAGCGGCGCCTTGTATTCACCGTCATCCTCCTCATCCTCTTTATCCTTCAACTTTCTGCTCTTTCTACCGCTGCTCTCCTTCTCGTCGTCGTCGATCAAATTGTCCTGCGGACTGTCATCCGCCTTGTCCTTCTTCACGTTCCTCGATGGCTCGCAAGCATCCTCCTCGCAGTAGCTCAGATCGTTCTTGTACAGGGTCAGACTGTCAAACACGGTGATGTTGTCGCGATCGGCGAGCGTCCGGTCCAGATAGTCGTAGGCGTTCTTCTGTATGCAGGAGAAGCTCGCTCGCTTGCTGCAGTCCTTGATGATGCCGAGCCAGAGCTCGTTGCTCGCCTCGCTCGGCGTGAAGCCCAGCAGTCGCGTGTAATTCGCCAGTTTGGCGTAGTCGAAGATGTGGGCGTCCGCCACCGTGGCGATCAGGCCCAGCATCGCTATCGCTACGAGCATTACCGAGGTCGCGCGTCGAAACATCGTTTCTGCTTCTTTCTTTCTTTCCTTTCTTTTCGACGATTGAATTTTATATATTCCGCTAACAAAGTGTCTTCTTAACTGAAGCGTAATTCAGTCTCATTACAGAACGAGAGAGAATCACTGGAGCGCGTCTCGTAATGTAATATAATAATCGGAGCTCTCCGCGATAAACGTCGTCGTCGTCGTCTTGGCTGTCATTCGGCCTGGGCCTTATGATATTTTATAATACTTTCTCCGTCTTTTTCGAAACTCGTTACAACGAGACCCGTCGTGATTTTCCTCGAATCGCCAATCCTAAAAATTGAAAATAATCGCACGTTATAACATTTTTTTTTCCTCATTCTCATTATACACGGATAAAGTGCAGTTATGTATCGTTGTTTATCGTAGCAAACAAGGTTTATGCATTGCTCACCTGTTGTCGTCGTCGTCCAAACAACCCATAAAAATAAAAAGAAGAAGAAAAGGCCGATTGTCAGGTGGTGTACTTTTGGACCACGAGCTAAATAAACTCTCGACAAATGCCAGCGACGGCAGCAGTCAGCAAACAGCCTCTCTTCCGCTGGACCCACTTTTATGTTAAATCGGTCAACGTTCTATAACACATGTGCGATACCTTGCCGGTCATCATACGATCAAGCCGGCGCAGCAGCAGCAGCTCCTCATCTCTTCCTCTCGCAGTCTCTCTCTCTCTCTTTCTCTTTCCCTCGCGGCACAGATAATCGTCTCTCTCTCTCGTCGACGTCGTCTTCTTCTTCTTCAGGCTTTACGGAGTAATACACACTCGCACATGCACTTGTCTGGTATTATATATGGTATACGTAAGGTGCCCGCACACACCACACACAATATAATGTATATATATAGAACGAACCTCCTCGCGCCTCGATCTCCCGAAGTGAACTGAACCGGCCTGAGACTGCCGGTCTCTCTCGTCCTCCGGGCCGGGGTTTCTTTCTCTCTCTCTCTTTTGCTCTCTCGGTAGAGTAAGGCGCCTTGTTCAAGTGTGTCAGTAGCCCTCCTACTCTCCTATAATACACACTCGTACTCATGCACACACACTTATATACACCGGCCAGTCGAGAGTAGTCGCGTTCGCGAGTTAACTCCGCGCCGAGCTATCATCTGAATTGTGTTATATTTATTATTATATATATCTATATTTCGGCTGACGCTGGACACTTGTATTCCGTGGAGGATTAAAATGTGTATAAGGAAGGTCGGGAGGAGCTCCGGGCGAAAGTGACGTTGTACAGTTACATCTTGTTACTTTTTTCTCTCTCTCTCTTTTCATTTCCTATATATTATATTATGACGACGACAACGACGAGAATAAAATATATATTCCGCGAGCCATTGTATTGTTGTTTCGATGATCGTTTTTAGCTATGGTAAAATAAACCGATTTTCGCCCGATTTACGACTGTTTGTCAAAGAGCTTCGAGCGAGAGTCGTAAAGTTCTATGGGAATGGGTATTTTTTTTTTTTTTCAACACATCGCTCAGGAGTGCACATTACGCGTGCCTCGTAAAAATAGCTGATTTAAGCTGCCTATTAAAAGGCAAAACATTTTACACGACTGATTTACACGCGTTAAAAGCGTACACGTCGAACGTCAATTGTTTCCAAATTGACTTCTAACTGTACGAGGAGACAGTTCGACGACGCTTAAATTGGCAAATTCTTGCAATATTTTCCAGATCTTTATTATTTTTATTATCGTTATTATTAATAAATCGAATGCCGGAGTAAATCCGCTCGCGATCGTTACGGAGTCGCGGAAAATAAGCCATAGACCGCAGAGAGCGCATTACGAATTTGCGCGAATTCCACACTCCAGGGGGAGAGAGAGAGAGGATAATCGAGTCACGATGATCGCTTTTCGGTTTTGATACCGCAGAGAGTCAATTTTTCATGCCTGTATAATCATGGTCAATCGCGTCGTCGCGACGGTATATATATCTATCTATCTAATCCGCTGAGTCGCGTGCCTCTTTTCACGGACATCTTTATATATATTACGTTCGCGGATGAATGAACGTAGGAAAGAAAGAAGAAAAAAAAACACAAGAAAATAGGTAAGCGCGCGTGCACGTATAATGCATATATATACAAATGTAAATGCCTTTTCTGCGGCGCGCGCGCGCGCGCGCGCGAGCCCACGTTTGGGCGCGTTTTAATATATTTACAGTATTAAAGTACGTTTTGCATTGTTATGATGTATATATGTGCCATTCGCCGCACGCTACCGTACTACCTATCCTATCCCACAACAATCGCTCGTTTTACAAACTTAATTTTTTCCTTCCTTCTTTTATTTCTTTATCTCTGTCTCTATAAGCCCACGCGCGGAGATTGTTTTTCTCTTTTTTTCGTACGCACATTTATGCGCGCGTACGATAGGCATGTAGAGAAAAAAGGCACGCGCGTCGTCTACTTTTGTGGTGAATTATATATGATTTTAAAATGTACGTACGCAGGTAGGCAGTATAACGACAAATAGAAAGTGTTCTGTTTGCCTTCGAAAATGAAGTTAACGGGATTATACCGTGTGTGTGTTCGTATGTATGTATGGCGTATAATGAACAATATTGTCATTGGCATCTCCTTTTTCTCTCTCTCTCTCTCTCTCGACAATTTGTATCGCTCGAGACGAGACATAAAAGCGCGCGCGATTATTATTTCGAATGTGAAATTTGCACACGCGTGAGGTATGAAAAAATGAAAAAAAAAATAAAATGAAAAATACAGTTACCTACGCTAGAAGCGATTGTTTTCAAAAGGAAGGAAAGAAAGGAGAGAGAGAAAATAAATCAACAAAGCTGCACGTACTAAGTGGTCATTTCAAACGCAAAGTCACATTTCTTTTATCTCGTGAAAGTTCAGGAAATTCGTGTGAGTACGTGTGCGAGTGTAAAAATGTAACCGATCCCGGAGCAATCTGAGCTCCATTCGAATCGTGCACCCTGACCCTGGTAGAAATACTCAACTTAAGAACTTTCAGGGGTCTCATTCAAAATTCCGCCAATTATTAGCCTTGAAATGTTGCATAATGAATGTTGATGAATAATTTTACCACGATATGAATCAACTGAAGCGGTAATAATAATTTGTGCTTATTCGGCTATTCGCTCTGATTTTTTAACGCGAATAAACGTAAAAGCCCTTGGTGAACCTCCTAATAATGGCTTGTTTTTAGCTATTTTTTTATTATTAATTGTTTACAAATATGTATCAAGAGGTTTTTGTTTTACACAATCTAAAGATAACAATTTAATTGTTTCAAAAAGTCTAGATGATTTTTCAACCACTCTGAATGCGATAAAACTACTTGAAGCCTCCACTACTAGATGGCGAGTATACCTTTATCCGTAAATCTGCAAGTGGCAAAGTAAAAATGATTGTATAAGTCATAACACAGTTTTCTAAAATTTATGTACTCTTTATAGACCATTTTGTATTCTGAAATTTAAATACTCGATATATCCTTTCTCGAGTCAAGTAAAACTCCTCAAAATGTGAAACATATTCTATCGGGGAACAAATCAAATGTCAAACACGTACGTACTAATTAAGCAACAAAATTACACCCCTCGATCGCGAGCCTCGAATTCGTACGAAATTCACCGATGGCGTCTCCGATAATTAGCCCCAGTAACAGCAGTTTATAGCAATTAGTGTCTATTGTTCCACTGCGCACTCGTAAGACGAGCCAAAAGGTTTTATTACGGTACACCCGTACGAAGTTGCATTGCTTCTACAACACAACTCCGCTAATTACAATTACAGATATATTTCTTCAAATCCTTTTCGCAAATAAACAACGCGTGATTTCGTTCATCGCGATACACTTTCCGAACAATTGATAAATTCAATTTATAACAACAACGATCGCTCGGCAATTTTTCACTCGTGTAACGAGGATAATCGCGATGAATCTTCCCGGCAAAAATATTACGTCGTTTCGGGCGGCTATTATTATTTTTTTTTTTTGCTTCCTTCCTCCGAGGAGAGGCGGAAGATGCGCCGCGTGCAGCGCCGCGTAGTGCGTGTGTGCGCAGGATGTGTATCAACGGTAATAATGAAGCGAGTAAATATATGCGCTCGGGTCCTTGCACACACACACACACACACACACACACATACGTATACACTGACGAGAGGCGAACGAACTCGAGCTCAGCCGGGTATCATCATCATCTATTGCAGCTTTACGCGCGCATACGTACACGCTTATAAACACACACACACATGTATAACACACACAGACGAACTCATGGATGCGCCGCGCGAGTTGAATTTCATTGACCCAGAATCGATCAGGTTGTAAGTAGCAAAGAGAAATATATACTCGTGTATGTGTATAGTAAGCTGCGCAGTCTATTACAAAATGCGCTTATACATTATACACGTGTGTATTTACAGTTGAACTGTATACACACGCGGCTGTATAGGATGCATTCACGTGCGTTGTTCAGTGTCGTGTCCTCTCTTTCTCTTTATTATATGTGCGCAGGCGACACTCCATTCATCATTTGGCGCGATCGAAAAAGGAGTCGCTCGCTAAAGTGTCAATCGTATAGTAATAATCGAATAAATCGCTCGATCTAGTTTTCGGCGCGTCGATTGTTTATATTATAATATATTGGCTCTATAGCCTGGATAATAATGATAAATCATTCGGATGTGTCGACAGGTATAAGCTTGTTTTACGAAACCTTTACCTTCTCGATACAGTTAATGAGACATAATGGGAGGATATTTTTCACGTCGTCGGCGTTGTCGCACCTAAATTAATATCGATCATTCGTGTATACATAAAATAAGGCGAGAGACATTAATATATATTTTTTCTTAGAGTATCCCGAGTTATACAGTTTATGCGCAGATGTATAAATTCGGTTTATATGCACGCTTTCGTTGTATCGTAAAAAAGAACGATTATCATAGCTGCAGAT